CACAATAAATTAAAAAAAGGAAAAAAAAAAAGAAGTGCAAAAATGGGCAAACAAATGAGTAGTGTTTCAGAAAATGAGGGGTACTGCCAGTGTGTGTGTGTGTGTGTGTGTGTCTTGTGGACTGAGGAAACCAAGGGAAGGAAGAAGACATTTGCTTCCTGGAAATTCTGTCTTTGAATTATATTGTACCAAATATGTGTCCTTTTCCACTTTAGTATGGTCTTCGTGTCTTAGATTAACTTGGTGTGGTCTCTCTAAATTCAATCATGGGCATCTCAACTTTTTTGAGAGATTTTCTATAAAAGACATTGCTCAAAATATTTGGAGGCCATGAAGTTGGGGGTTGTGAATATGCAATGTCAGGATCATAGTTCCAGATGCTTCAGATGTCCTTGTAGAAGAGGCTGAATCTAACAACATGTAATGTGAGAGCCACTGTTAGAGCTGAAAAAGTGGTTATTCATGCACCATGGTGCATGACATTGGGGAGGAGTAAATACATCTAACTTAACTGAGAGAATTTATTTTAACTACTCACAGATGCTAAGATTGTGTCCACCCTCCACACTCCTTCTCCAGTTGTCATATTTCCCTAAACAAGCCCTCTTATACCTGGGATTGTTTAGAAAAAGAGATCGAAACTGCTAATCTAGAAACAACCACTGAACATCTATATAAGAGATTGAAAGAAATGAAAAAGTTAGATGTTTTACATGGCAGTATCCTCAGTATAAGTCCACACTTATTATTGACCATTTCTTGCAACAAACCCTGAATGCAAACGTGCATACATTAATGGATGTATGATAATTGCAAAGGAGGAGAAGGCAGGCCTAATCCTCCCTGACCATTCAGAGACATCTGAGAAATGCATTTAATTCCAGGCTACATAAGAAGGATTGAGATAAATTATGGAATATTAAAAGTAAAGTTGATATGATGATGATGTCATAATTAATGAGCAGCAGGTGAAAAAACTTCAGAAAATTAGCCTTGAGAAAACTGAAGCCAAAAATAGCAGTACAGCATGGAAGGGCTATATGTGAGGGACTGGACTTGCCCCATATGGCTGCAATGGGCTGGTCCAGGACAAGTGGGTGGCTCATGGAGAGAAACAAATTTTGACTCAGCATGGTGAAGATCTTGTATGGAATAGGGTGTCTCCACCAAAAAGCAGTCGAGTAGTTTAAGTGGACGCTGATGTGGCAATGGAAGATTTAAGAATGAGAAGCAGGTAATTGAATGAAATGGCTTTGCAGATCCCTTTTTGCACTGAGGCACTTAGAAGTCTAATAAATTCAATTCCTTATGATATGCTTTTGTTCATAGGCAGTTTGTACTTCTGCTTGGGCCTTGATTTCCAGTTTTCCACAACCAGGATGACAACAAGGTGGCCCCCTGATTGAACCTCTCCTTGGAGGTTTGGCTAGCGCTCAGACCCTGCATTGTATGCTGAGCTGACTCTGATTAATCTGGATGCAAATTGTACTGGGAAGGTCCTGAGCCTCCTCCTTCTTCACAGGGAGATAAGGGAATAAAAGTTGTTTCCAAGTTGTCCAGATTGTGTGGATCATGACAAATTATGGATAACATTGAGAAGAATGGAAATTCCCGAGCACTTGAATGTACTCATAAGGGACTTGTACCTTGACCAGTAGGCTGTCGTTCAAACGGAACAAGGGGACACTGCATGGTTTAAAATCAGGAAGGGAGTGGGTCAGGGTTGTATCCTTTCACCATACTTATTCAGTCTATATGCTGAACAAATAATCTGAGAAGCTGGACTATATGAAGAAAAACATGGCATCAGAATTGGAAGAAGAATCATTAACAACCTGAGATACACAGACGATACAACTTTGCTTGCTGAAAGTGAGGATGACTTGAGGCACTTACTGATGAAGGTTGAAAAATATAGTCTGCAGT